GCCTTCTGGCTTTAAGTATCAGAACGATAATCTATATTTGTGACTACAGTTTGCAAAACATACATTATTTTATCTCTACCCCAAGAATGTGATGTAAGTAGGGTTGGTATTATCATTATGTACAAGCCAGAAAATTGAGGTAGCTCAGCAAGCTTCGTCAACCAGCCCACCGTCACTCAGTGGTTGGCCCAGCCAGGCTTTAAATCTCTCTCCTCACTTCAAGGTTCTTTGCAACTTCTGGAACCATCCCTGCTCTGCCTCCAGCTAAACATTTTGTTGACCTGTCCACTGGGTTTGGTTCTCAGAGTTTTATTGCAGGATGGGTGTTCACTAAAGCACTGTTTGCAAGAGTGACACATATCTGAATGTCTATCAGCAGAGGAATGATTAAATAAATGACAGGTCATTCATTCTGGAAATAGTACACAGTTGTTAAAAAGAATGTGGTAGATCTGCAATTACTGGGACAGAGTATATGGTTAGACGAAAAAAGCAAATTGCTAGGGCAGTATGTGTTATATGATTACATGTTTGTAAAAAAAAGTAAAGTAGGGCTTCCCTGGCGGCGCAGTGGTTAAGAATCCGCCTGCCAATGCCGGGGACACGGGTTCGAGCCCTGGTCCAGGAAGATCCCACATGCCGTGGAGCAACTAAGCCCGTGTGTCACAACTATTGAGCCTGCACTCTAGAGCCTGCGAACCACAACTACTGAAGCCTGCGTGCCTAGAGAAAGCCCACGCGCAGCAATGAAGACCCAACGCAGCCGAAAATAAATAAATAAAATTTTTAAAAAAGTAAAATAAAATAGGACTATAAACATATATATATATACACACACTGAAAAAGTCTAGAAGGTTATTCCCCGAGGGGCATGTAATGGCTTTGTAATGAAAGAACAACAACAACGAAGTAAACTAAGTTCAGGAAACGTGGCATACAAGGGGGGAAATGGTTTACAGCTTTCCCCCCATTATCTCCTGTTCCTACTCCATTTCTCTCCTGTCTCCTCTTCCAATCAAAGGAATAAGAATGTTACTTTGGGGACTTCCCTGGAAGTCCAGAGAGTAAGACTCCGTGCTCCCAATGCAGGGGGCCTGGGTTCGATCCCTGGTCAGGGAACTAGATCCCGCATGCATGCCTCAACTATGAGTCTGCATGCCGCAACTAATAAGTCTGCCCACCGCAACTAAAAGATCCTGCATGCCTCAATGAAGATCCCGTGTGCCACAACCAAGACCCAGCACAGCCTAAATAAATAAATAAGAAAGGCAATATACTAAGGAAAGAAGAAATATTTAAAAAAAAAAAAGAATGTTACTTTGCTCCTTCCCTTCTCAGGCTTAGAAAGACTGTAGCACGCATTTTCTTTAAGGAGGGAGGCCTGGGGCTGAGGACCACAAGATTTGAGATTTGAGGCTCCACCCAAATCCTAACCTACAGCAAATGAACTTCAAGATCTATCTGGCTCACTCACCTTTTTTTTTTGTTAACCTAGATACCTGTTGGTTTGTTTGTGGCCCTTGTTCCTGGGCTAAATCTCTTATCACTGAGGCATCAGATCCTTTGCCACCTGAGTCTGACAACCTAATTATTTGCTCTAGCCCTGCCCAGCAAAGGGCGGCTCCCCCAATTCTCCTTTCCATGGGAACCCGCCCTGGAATTCTGCTCCCTTTCTCCTTCCTTCTCTTTCATGTGCCCCTGCCATGGGGTAGAGTGGCTGAGAGCAGTATACCATGACGGAAAGAATACAGGACTTGGCACAATACCCTGCCTCTGCCATTATTAGCTGCGTGACCTTGGGAGAATTTCCTAACCTCTGAAAATTTCTTAACTTCCCTGAACTTCAGTTTTTGCTTCTGTAAAATGAGAATGAAACGTGCTCACAGGGTTGTGATGAGGAATAAGCGAGATGAACAACACTGAGCGTCTAACCTAGAGTGAGGACAACCTAGGATGTAGCTAGTGTGACTACATGGCAAGGGATGGGCTTTACCCAGTGGGGTGGGCAGAGCGGACAATGCCTATTCCACCCCACTCTCCTTCCAAGAGGGCAACTTATGCACTAGGCACAGCAGGCAACGCGCCTAGGGTCCACCGTACTTCTAGGGGCCCATGAAAATGTTTTTTAGTGATCTTAATTTCTTTTAAAATCAGAAGAAAAAATTGAATGTTTATGTCAAGGAAATTATAATATTGTTATATCAATCAATTATAAATATAACCATTAATGATTTTATTGTATATTAATATTGTATTCTTCCTTATACCAACATAGTTGTAAAATACAATTCTTAACACATTGCCTTTTTAAATGGAGGAATGGGCCCACAAAGGCAAAAGTGCCAAGGGCCCCTGAAAGTTCTAATGTGGCCCTCACTTTCAGCCCTCTTAAAGGATATCCTTCAGGAGATCTTTATAGATTGGGGCAAAGGGATGTGAGAGGGAGGTGGGGAAGAGACATGCAAGACCCTCAATGATCCCATTCTTCAAAGTACAAGCCCTCACCCTGTCTGTAATTTCTCCATTTCTGTCCCTGAACTTACATTTGCTTGGACCCAGTGGGTAGGGGACTATATGATATGTCCTAAAATACCACTCCACTCGTGTCATTTGTTGGGTTGAAAATGTAAATACACGACTCAACAACAACAAAACCAGACAACTGAAAAATGGGCAAGGACTTGAATAGACATTTCTCCAAAAGATATACAATTGCCAATAAACACGTGAAAAGATGTTCAACGTCACTCATCATTAGGGAAATGTAAATCAAAACCACAATGAGACACCATTCACACCCATTAGGATGGCCACTATTAAAAATCAGAAAATAGGGCTTCCCTGGTGGCGCAGTGGTTGGAAGTCCGCCTGCCGATGCAGGGGACACGGGTTCGAGCCCCAGTCCGGGAAGATCCCACATGCCGCGGAGCGGCTGGGCCCGTGCGCCATGGCCGCTGAGCCTGCGCGTCCGGAGCCTGTGCTCCACAACAGGAGAGGCCACAACAGTGAGAGGCCCGCGAACCGAAAAAAAAAAAAAAAAAAAATCAGAAAATAACAAGTGTTGTCAAGGATGTGGAGAAATTGGAGCCCTACGCATTGCTGGTAAGAATGTAAAATGGTATAGTTACCCTGGGAAACAGTATGGCAGTGCCCCAAAAAATTAAGCAGAATTACCACACTTATGGGTATATACCCAAAAGAATTGAAAGCAGGGGCTCGAAGAGATATTTGTACACCAACGTTCAAGCAGCAGTATTCACAACAGCCAAAAGATGGAAGCAACCCAAGTATCTATTGATGTATGAGTAGATAAACAAAGTGATATACATTATATACATAAAATATTATTCAGCCTTAAAAAGGAAGGAAATTCTGACACATGCTACAAAATGGATGAGCCTCGGAAATGCTATGCTAGTGAAATAAGCGAGACATAAAAAGACAAATTTTGTATGATCACACTTATACTAGGTACCTAGTCAAATTTATACAGATAGAAAGTATAATGGTGGTAGCCAGGGGCTGTGGGGAAGGGGGAATGAGGAGTTAATATTTAATGGATACAGAGTTTCAGTTTGGGAAGATGAAAAAGCTCTGGAGATGGATGGTGGTAACAGTTGCACAGCAATGTGAATATCACTCAATATTTAATACCACTGAACTGTACACCAAAAAATAATCAAAATGGTTAACATTTATATTACGTTTATCTTACCACAAAATTTAAAAAAGAATGTATATAGTTCTGCTTTTGTCCAAGTCCTAATTTCTCAGCTGCCCAAGCAAGCATCATTTGTCTTCCCTACAGGAAGGTTTATTCTGTAGGTCCTCTGCCCTGTCCCCCAGAATACCCTCCAAGGTAAGCACAGTCTCTGTAGTTTCAGAAGTGGCGGCACTACCTTTATGTGGAATCCCTGCTGCACCCCTCTTTGCCTGTATAAACCTTACCCATCCTTCAAGGGTAAGGGCTCCATCCCTTCCCCACTCATGAAGCCTGTACTAACTAATCTAGATGGCTGCCCATTTCTCCCTTTTCTTATCTCCAGCAGACAACTAAGGGTCTGAATTGCTACATCACCAGTCACAGAGGACACTGCCTTTGACTTCCCCTGGGGTTCTCGCTCACCTGTTTCCACATCAGTAAAGCAGAGAATGTCTGTCCTAATGACAAATGAGACCGCATATGGAAACAAAGGTGTATACGCCAACCAAGGTTTTGTTCCTCCCTTACCCTAATTAACATGTAATGAAAACAACGAATGAATATCTGATGGTTTGTCCAGCTCAGCTTGGTTATGAAATGAAAGGTAGGAATCCATTCTCATTCTCTTTTTCTTTTTTTGGGAATCCATTCTTAACGTGAAGGGGAAAGAGGGGGATCCCTAACTAGGAAACAAGGGTAACAATAGTTCCGGGGAACAAGGGATTTTTGATGCTGGAGTGAATCATCAGAGGAGTGGAATTAGAAAGCAGGCAGAGGGACTTTCCTGACGGTCCAGGGGTGAAGACTGCACTTCCAAAGCAGGGGGCACCGTGGGTTTGATCCCTGGTGGGGGAACTAAGATCCCACGTGCCGCAGAATTCCTTTCTAGGAATAGGTGGGCTTTTCTAACAAGCACCCAGTAATAATAACCAATGTTACTGAGTGCTTGCTAGATATGAGACACCGTGCTAGGTGTTTTACATGGATTATCTCATTTAATCCTCACAAATAAGGTACCATTTCCCCCGTTTTACAAATGAGACTGGAGCTTAAAGGGTAGGTCACGAGGTCACAAAGCTCTAAGTAGTAGTACCAGGCATCGGTCCAGGTCCATGAAACTTCAGATTCAAGCTGCACTAAAGTGTGCATGCTGGTTCCCTTCTGCTTCCTCCCAGGACCTTTTCTGGTGTGAGGCAGGTGGAGAGTACTGGGAGTCTTCCCACCTGGGCAGAGGTCTCAGGGAATTCAAGGACTGGGCTGGGGTGGGGCAGTTTAAGTGGGAAAGGCCTTCACCTACCTCCTGGAGAAGGCGTGGTTGGGAGGCTAGTCATCTCGGCAGGTGGACGGGCACCTGCAGGGAGGTGCAGATCTGTAGGAAGAGGGACAAAGAGCGGGATGAGGTGGATGGGCCCATGCCTGGGGTTAGAAGACGACTGGAAATCCCAGGAAAGCCTTTGGTGCCAGGTTTTCCTGAGTCCCTTCCCCAACTCTCCCCCCACCCCCACCCCCACCCCCGCCCTATTGAACGTCTATCCGGGGATCCTTTCACTGGGCCACCACATTTACCTAGGAGGTTTCTCAAGGCCTGAGAAAGTTAGGTAAATGTACGCAAATTAGCAGCGGACCCAGTTTCACCCAGGCGCGGTAACAGGTCCCCGGTTCTCTCCCAGCCCGCAGTCTGTGGGGGGCCGTCCACTAGGTGTCAGGAGAGTGCAGGGAGGTCAGGCCCCCGGCCCAGGCTCGGGGCCGGCGCGGGGGCAGCGGCTGGGCCGGGCCGGGGAGCCAGGCGCCGGGCACCGGAGGGAGGGTCGTCAGGCGCCCTCAGGCCCGCCCGAGGCGGCCGGTTGTCGGGGCTCAGCCCTCCGCCCCCAGTGCCCCCTCGGGCGTCCGCTGCAACGTCCGCGCGGTCCGCCGAGCCCCGCTGGCCGGGCCCCCGCGGCCGCCCACCACCGGCCCGGCCGAGACTCTGGCACCCTGGGGCCCTCGCTGCGTCCGCGGACGTCGGGGCTCGAGCCCGTGGCACCGCCCCCCGAGCCCCGACCCCGGTCCAAAGCCCTCCTGCGTTACCCGCGCCAGGCAGGGCTAGCTACGCTCCGAGGGCGGCCCGTCCCGGTCACCGGTTCCGAGCCGCCGCGACGGGAGGCTCCAGCCGAGGCCCGAGCTCGGCCGCTCTCGGTTTCAGTTGTTGACGCGGCCGCGGCGGCTGCAGCGTGAGTGTGGGCGACCGGGCTCGCCTGGCCCTTCGGCCCTGCCCGAGTCCCCACCTCCGCGTGCTCACCTTACCAGTCGGACGGGCTTCAGGGGAAGGGCAGGCGCTGCGCGTCCGGCTCAACTCGACGGGGGCGGGAACCGCAGACACCGCGGGGACCTGCCGGGGACCCAGACCTGAGGAAGCAGCGCAAAGACGCTCAGAGTTAGTTGCCGAGGCCGGCCGGGGGCGGGGGGCGGGGGGGGGGCGGCCGACTGGGTGGGACAGGAAAAGAGGAGAGAAACCGCCCTCTGCAGGTTCCCTCTGCCCGCCGGGCCGCCTCAGCTCCCGCGGGAGGAAAGGCTGCTTTTCCTTCTCCGATTGTCACTTTACTCTCCATCCGGAGCCGCTTCCTCCCCCGCCTGCCTCGAGGCACCGGAGGGCACGGGATCAGAGTGAGCCCGGAGCTAATGGGATCTGTCCGCTTTCCCCGCCATCGACGTTATTTGAATTTTCAGCAAATGTGGAAAATTACATTTACTTGCGTTTGCATATCACTTACGTAAATAGGTCTGTATCCAGAAGCTTGGAACATAAGCTAACTTAGTGGGCACACCCCGGGCCAGGGAGCGGGGCGTGAGGTGGGGAGAGGAACGTTGCCCCATTCGGATCTTCCTTGCCCGAATTCATCTGAGGCAGTGTAGTGTAGAGGTTAAGTGCGTTGTGGATTTTGGACTCAAACAGTCCCAGCCCCGCCGCTTCTTAGCTGTGTGACTTTGGGCAAATTACTTAACATCTCTAAAAGCTGTTCCCTCATCCCTGAAAAGGGGGACTGAAAAATCATGCCATTTCATAGCGTGGTTCTAGCACCTGGGAAGCACATCAATTTAACTACTAATTAATGCCATACTTTAGTCACCTCCTGACTCGCTTCTTTCTGGCAGGAAATGTTCCCAAATTAATGAGGAACTCAATGAGTAAGGATGTAAAGTATAAACACAGGCTCTGGAATCTGCTCTGCTGTGTGATCTTAGACAGTTTTGTTTCATTTATCTGGGGCAGTATCTACTGTGGGGATGGAATGAGTTAATATTGATACATTTAAAGCATTAGAAGCTTACCTGGCACACAGTAAGTGCTCAGTAAATGTTATCTTGGCTTCCTGTTTAGGGTTAGAACTCTTGTGGTTATTCTGTCTTCCCTCCCAGTGATACAGACTTCCCTGCTTTTTATTCCTGGGAGGCAGTCTCTAGGTTTGGGAATCAATATTTATATAGATCGATAGAGACAGGAATTGTGCATGTTCATTTGGGAGACAAAGACTGAAATAGTCTCAGAGAATGGGGGCACAGGGTGAGAAAAAAAGCAAAGAAAGAAAGATAGAAAAGAAGGGAGGGAGGGAGGGAGGAAGGAAGGAAGGAAAGAAAGAAAAGAAAGAAAGCACAGTTGCTTTCATTCCTAAAGATGTTATGTGGTTGGAAAAAAAATAAAAACAGAGAAAAAACAGTAAATTGACTAAATTCATTTACTTGAATATATTTTTAAAGGCATAGCAGTTATCAGTGAGGAAGAAGAAAGCCCACGTGTGGGAAAACTACCAATCCAACCAAGAAAGGCAAAGAAAGTTACACGTAGGCAAGGTGGATGTAAGTTAATAAAAAGGTAAGGCTGGCCAGTCCTCAGATAAAAGAATACCCAAGAGAAAAGGGAATTCAAATCCTAACGGTTAAGTTGCAAAGGTGGACAACTGCTTGCATTTATTACCATGAATTCCAAGAAAAGTTGAGATTTTTCTTGTTATCTGGGTCAGTCTCCCGCGTGGCATATTCCTTTATGTCTGAAGATTGTTAAGAACCAGACTCTCATAGGCCATCCAGCCCAACTGAATACTGATTTGCTGTGTTACTTTTACAATTTAATTTGATGGCTAATAGTCTCTCACAAGCATCTTTTTTGTTTAAAATATAACCTTAAAAGTTTTGCTAGTACATGATTTTAACCCTGTAGGCACATGCTATTGATTTTGAAAGTGTAAACATGCAGAAAAACAGGATCCAATATGTACATGCTCAGCACCCAACTTAGCAAATAAGCAATGCTGTAAGCAGCATGTACTCTGCTCTTTGGAGTGTCCCATATATCCTGGATGTGCGCTGTTCCTAGTACTCTCTGGATATCTTACCTAGTCTGTCAGTACTGTCCTTCACATTGCTGGAAGGCAGGGACTGGGTGATGTTCTTGCAATTTATTCTAGATAGAGATGCATACAGAGAGATGATGAATGAAGCCTCAAGTGGTGGTGAGCTACCAGTGTTCTCCAAGGATTAAATGCTAAACTTCAGAAACTGGAACAGCCATCCTTGTGTTAACAGACCTCCAGGGGCCTCAGGGCAGGGGATAAGAGATATTCATCTCTGCCCAATTTTATCATCTTTCAGCCCAGTCTTGCACTGCTGCCAGGATGGCAGTCTTCTAAGTCCTAGTCTAATAAGTTCTGTTAATGCACTACCATTGGACCAACCACAACTTTACTATTTTGTAAATTAGAGTAAACAATCTGGTCCCTAGCTGGGACTATCTACCCTAGATAAGCAAAATTATTACTCATGCCCAGCTCACTGGCCCTTTTCCCTATCTTCCTGGAGCCTCCAGTAGGGCCATATGCAAATGAAGTGTCAGTCTCACAGTTTAGTCAAATTTTCCACTTCATTTGTGCCTCTTTTGTAGCAGTTACCTTGAGTGCTTAACTCCGCACCACCAGACCATAAGTCCCCAAAAGTACTCTCTGGCACACTCTCCAAAGAGGATCAGTTTCCTAGGAGATGAGGGCCAGGGAAAGCCTGGTAAAGAAAAGGCTCGAACTGGGTTTTGCCTTGGGAGGGGTACTCTAAGCAGGTCCTAGAGGACCTTGGACAGCCGGGAGCCTGTATCCCTAGCATATCCCCGACCCTTCCATTAGCTCTGAGTATCACTGCCAGCAGTAACTGAGTGCCACGGGAGTGGGATGCCTTCTAGGAAAGGAATTAAAATACAGGCAGTAGGGCTTTTATAGGGGGATATGCAACCTCCTCTCCATTACAGCAGTAGAGATCCTTTGAAAGTTTTTAAATGGAAGAGTAATAGGATTAGATCTTATAAAAATGACTCCTAAATACAAATATGCATTACCAGCTCCCTAAGGGACATGTCTACTGAAAAGTCATGCAAGTTCTCAAGCTCTTTGTACCAATGTTTGTATGGGACACCCAATAAACTGCCCATAAAGGGTACAATTTGATCAGTTCTGACACAGGTATACACATTAAACTATCACCGTAATCAAAATTAGGAACATTTCTATCACCCCAAAAGCTTCCTTGCGCTTCTTCGTAATCCCCCCTCCCTACTCCCACCCCATATCACCACCACCACCACTGGTCTTCCTGTCACTGTAGACCCTAACATGCCTCCCCCCAAGCTGGGCCAGTCAGATTCTTTCTCCAGGGAATCTGCATCTGGAAAGGACACAGTGGCAGGAGGCAGCTGAAGCTGAGTCTTCCAATGACAGCTGCCTGGAGGGGCAGTCCACACGTTCCTGCTACAGACATCCGAGGGTTCTTTCTGCAGCCTGGTTGTTTTCAGTTCTATGAGCTGCGTAACATCCTTCCAACATATCCTTTACCGCTTAACTGTGTCAGTTTGTTGCTTGCAACAAGAAAACTCACATATAATGCACTTCCTCCTACAGTCACCACTTCAGGAAATGGCACCACCAAATTCTAGTCTCTCACGCCTAACCTAGAATAATTCCTTAAAACTTCAGTCTTCATCACGTCTCCTCTCACTCATTGCTAAATCCAGCCTGTCTGCTCCCTGCTCGGTATTCTGTCTCTATAACATTCTTACTTTTTTTCCTCATCATTATTTCTCTAGTACCTAGTACAGTGCTTGGCAGAGTACTCAATAAATTCTTGCTGAATGACTGAATGAACAGTGACATCATCCATCACCCCCAGAAACAAAAGCAAAGATGGATGAGTGAGTGCTTGCATATGTGTGCATGTTTATCAGGGTGGCAGGACTTCAAAGTTAGTTTTTAATCTTTTCACAGAAGCACATGATAGGACTTGAATCCAAGACTTCTGACTCCAACTTCCATACCATTTCCATTATACTTTGTATCTATACCATACATCCTTTCCCTTCACTTGGAGTTCTCTTCCTTCTTTTTTTTTTTTATTTTATTTTATTTTTTATTTTTTATTTTTTTTCTTCCTTCTTCCATCCTGCTCAGATCCTTATTTACACTAAGTACCAAACTGTAGGCACTCGATACAGCTCTAAAATATAAACCCTTTCCAAGAATATTTGCTTATTAACCAAAGGGTGGGAGCGGGGTCAGGCAATAAAGCATCTAGATTGAGGAGAGGAGCCTGTGGCCCCTGGCATCATCAAAGAGTTCTAGCCAGGAGGTAGGGTGAGCTGGGGGTCAGGGATGTGACTAAAGCTTTCTGAACCTGGGGTAGAGTCAATAACCTTGCCTAAGTGAAGGATAGTTTGCTGGGCTGGAACAACTTCCTGTGTCAAACAAAAAATCCATACATCATCAGAATAATACTTTATTTAACAATCTGAAAATATGTTCTTTTGGTTTTAAGTCTTGCAAAATGAGTGGTAACTCAAAGATCTGTTCATGGGCTTCCCTGATGGCGCAGTGGTTGAGAGTCTGTCTGCCGATGCAGGGGACACAGGTTCGTGCCCCAGTCCGGGAAGATCCCACATGCCGCGGAGCGGCTGGGCCAGTGAGCCATGGCCGCTGAGCCTGCGCGTCCGAAGCCTGTGCTCCGCAACAGGAGAGGCTACAACAGTGAGAGGCCCGCGTACCGCAAAAAAAAAAAAAAGATCTGTTCACTATTCTCTGAGTATGTGTGGTTATATGCCTGTGGGTGGACAAATGTCTATGTCTACAGATGCTTTTGCTTTTTATAGTCATTTTAGCCCCACTTCATTAGTATATAAAGTCTTATTATTCTAACAATGCTAAAACCTGAGTTAAATATTCCAAGTCTAACAGTCTCTTCTCCCAAGACTGCCTCCCTCCCTCCCCTAAGTCTGCTCCTCAGCTTCCATTAATGCTAGGTCTTTAGAGACCGCCAGCATTCATAGTTTGAGAAACCAGAAATGAATGCCGGATCTTAAGTCCCTCTGACTTATATCCTCTAGCTGAGGGGCCTTTCTGGGGAGGTGTGTGTGGGGAGGTCTTGGCAGTTCCTCTTCAGAGTTGTGCATTTTGAATGGTAGACACCTAGAAAGGAAACATGATTGCATTAGATGCTGACCTACCCTCCCACTAACCAATTAATAAGGGGGGGGGCTGTGAAAACTCCATTTTCTTGTCCTGAATTATATTTCATGTCATGCACTGGCCTGTATGGAGGTGGGGGCAATGTGAAACTGGCTGTTAGGATTATTGTAAAGACTTGTTGCAGATACTGTTCATTCTGTCATTCACCATCTCTTTATGAGGATTCGCAGAAGAGATTTCCTTTTCATCTTAGTAGCAGGAGTTGTTCTCCTAAGGAATGGGCATCATAAATTGTGTGAACTGATCAGGTTTTTCCTCTTCTTCTTGGATGTTAGTCTGGAACCAATTTTGTGGTCCAGCCTTAGTAAGTCTATTTTATAGAATGCACATTTGTACTTGCCTAGGTCATGGGTCCATTTTATTTAGTCATTTATTAGTCACTCTCACTAATACACTTCTGAGTTACTTTACTACATTTCATGTGGGTGCCTGTATGTATTTACTTTTTGTATGCCTTTTGTAGCTCTTAACTCCTTTTTGAAGTAAGTTCAGGTATAACTAAATAAATTCTTAGGAGATAGGGCTATGGGGAGAGGTCAGGAGGTTCAAAGCCAGTTGGGAAATGGGCACAAAGGAACCACAAAGTACGGTCACTCTTGGTTCTTCTGGCTCCCACCTGCTTGACTTTTCCCTAAGGATATTGTTCACTGCTGGGTTCCCCTCACAGCCCACAGCGAGGATGCCAGCCTGTAGCCAAGCATCTGTCCATCCGCAATCCCAGTCTCACCACCCCTCCTGTTGTCTGCATATCTGGACTCCTTACCTCTTCTTGAGGCTCGGGTGCTATGACGCTGCTCTCTTCTGGAACCTCAGAGACACGAAGCTGAAGACCTTGGTTCTACAAAAAGAAGAGTTCTGCCAGTGAGACGTGTCTCAACCTCCCAGCCTCTCAGCTTAGAAGGGTCTTTTGTGCCTTACACTTCATAAGGGTCATAGATAATACTAAGGGCAATCATACAATGTTGTTTCACTACAGCCTGAAAGCAACAGGGAAGGCTTTACTGCCATCCTCCCTCATATCAATAAACCAAGATTTGAAGGGTGAAATGACTTGCTGGGACAGGAAGCCAGGTCTTCAGATTCTAGAGTTGTTTCCATGATTTGTGTGACATGGCATTTATACGTATAGCTAGGTGAGACTCTGTAAGTGTATAAATATAGGTCTTAAAACCACTACCTATGACTTTTAGGCTAATCCTCCTCAAGAATACACGGCAGTTCTCACACTTAGATGATCCTAACCCACGGCAGTTAGGAGAGGCAAGCGGGAGGATGGTTTCCTTGGGAAAAGGTCTAGGTTCTGAGATGGGAGCCCAAGGTGTGGAAAAAGCCGTGTCTAGTAACTACTAAGCCAGGGGAAGACCTTGGCACTCTAAGGTTTAGAATGAACTTTTTAAAAAAGAAATTTATTTAACACACTATAAAATTCACCTTTTAAAGTAGAACCGATTTCTAACAGTATGACAGCCACTTGAAATTCTGTGATTTCTCCTTTCAGGAAAATTTCCGTCTTCGTACTCCCTCTGCTGATTCTAGGCCATGAACTACCTCAAAGGTAATACTATTAATACCTCCAAGAAAGTTATCAAAATCTTCATTTTCTCTCAGGTGAGTCAAATGCTGAGCAAGAACAGATTTTCTCACAGTTATCTTTTATTTATTTATTTAGTTTTTGCGGTACACGGGCCTCTCACCGTTGCGGCCTCTCCCGTTGCGGAGCACAGGCTCCGGATGCGCAGGCTCAGCGGCCATGGCTCATGGGCCCAGCTGCTCCGCGGCATGTGGGATCTTCCCGGACCGGGGCACGAACCCGTGTCCCCTGCATCGGCAGGCAGACTCTCAACCACTGTGCCACCAGGGAAGCCCCAACATTTTTTTTTTTTTGGTCACAGTTATCTTTTTATTTACCCATTTTTATATGTGGTATGTCCATAATTCTGCTTGAGAGAAAATATGATTTATGATGCATCTGTGAGGGAGATGAACAAATCTTATAGGACACAGGCTTCAGAGGATTGATAATACTGATACACTAGGATCTAAGATGCTCTATTGCTTAATTCCATAGGAAAAATATGTCTCCTTAGCCAATGACCAATGCAGTCCCACAGGAGAGGCTAGGAGTAAATCTCAAATATAAGGAGGTAGGGCTTCCCTGGTGGCGCAGTGGTTGAGAGTCCGCCTGCCGATGCAGGGGACACGGGTTCGTGCCCCGGTCCGGGAAGATCCCACATGCTGTGGAGCGGCTGGGCCCGTGAGCCATGGCCGCTGAGCCTGCGCATCTGGAGCCTGTGCTCCGCAACGGGAGAGGCCACAACAGTGAGAGGACCACGTAACGCAAAAAAAAAAATAATAATAAATAAGGAGGTAACCTCAGGGGAAGGAAGTTGTGTCCTGTACCTCATTTCCAAGGAGGACAGTGTTACTAGCCTGTTCCTCCAAATAGTCAGCATCTTGGTTCCCATAATCCCTTCAGTAAAATTACTCCAAGAATGCAAACTTGTTTTATTATTCACCTGAGCCAAACAGGTCGTTCGATTGTTGTCTCTATACTAAAATCATATAACATATTACAGTCAAATTTAAATTAATTTTGGATTTTCCATAGAGTTGAGTTGCTCTTTTCAGTGGAGAAGTGGCTATACTCTTCATCTACGCAAAGTCCCACATTTATCTTGGGCTTATTCACTATCCACATGCCCTGCATATCTCTCACTCAGTGTAGCTACCTCAGACCGGAAACCAGCCAAGGGAAGGTTTTATATTATGCTCTGTTAGGACCTTCAGTACCTCACGTGAATCAAGACTGGGGGCATAATACTGTAGATGACTCAGATTTTAGTATCTCACGGGAGTCAACTGAGATAAGTCTATTGTCCTCTTGTCTTCTACCTTCCTTGCCTTGCCAGACATCACACCCTTGTTCCCTCTGTCCATGTTAATTCCTCTCAGACAGCAGGAGGCTCCCGAGATAGCCTGGTCAACCTTCAGGTAGGCATATTCAGTAGTAG